TGCGCTGTTCGGCCATGGCAAAATGCCTCAAAGGTGATACAAGCCACACGCCTTGAGGCGTTGTGGTCGGGCGTGCTAACTGCAATCTTGCAACGTGCAAGCTGGCAAACCGAGATGCCTAGGGTTTAGGGTTTAGGGTTTGGGGTTTAGGATTTAGGGGTTTAGGGTTTAGGGTTTAGGGTTTAGGATTTAGGGTTTCAGGCTCTAGGGCTCTAAGGGCTTGAAGGGTTTAGGGCTTTAAGGGTTTAGGGGTGTAGGAGTTTAGGGATTTTTAGGGGTTTTTGAGGTTTTTAGGGGTTTTTAGGGGTTTGGGGCTGTAGGGCTTTAGGGGTTTAGGCGTTTAGGGCTTTAGGCGTTTAGTGGCATCAGTTGTTGTAGGAGTTATCTTGGCTTTACGACTCTAGGGCTTTGGGTCTTTTGTGCCTGAGGCTTTTTAGAGTTTAGGCTTCGAGGCGTTTAGGGTTTTCGGTGTTTGGGCTTTAAGGTTTAGAGTTGCCTAAGACTCCCAAGTGCACATGATCTTTAGGAGTTTAGAGTTCGGGGAAAACTCATCACAAAACCCATCTTGGAATGTGCGATACCATGTAAGTACAGTCCTACGATGTTAGAAGAAATCCTCATGGGATTAGTTGACAGCTTGGGTTTCTGGTCGGAGAGGAGCCTCAGGGTGATGTAAAGTTTCATTGATCGTTCAAAGGCTCGGTTGCAGAACGGCGAGTCATTGTTTTCAATTGTTTTAACAAGATTAGGTAAATGCTGCTGTGTCTGTCTGTATCTCTCTCTCTCTCTGTCTATCAATCTCTCTCCCTCTCTCCGTCTCCGCCTCTCCGGCTGGTCGCTCTCTGTCGCTGCTTGCGCTTTACTCGCTCGAATAGCCGGATGGGGGGCCCATGACACATGAGCTTCCACGATGGTGCAGAATGATCGAAGCCATTCTCCGCACAGATGCGAAATCGTGTGATGGCCGCAGGCTATTGCATCAAATGATGCAGAGCGCATGTGGAGGTTTCAGAATAGAAAGCTACCCCATTTCGGGTTCATATAATCCCTCAACCCGAAACCCGAAACCCTATAAGGATCCTACTATTTGGGGGTTTCCGAACATAGGGGACCCTAAGACAGCGCCCTAAACAATAGGATCCTTAGGAAAAAGGGCCCAAAAATAACATACCCTAATTTTCGGAAGATCCCATTTCGGGCTGTGCTTTGAGGATCCCTTGCTGTCTGAAGCTCAACATATGGATATAATCCGTAAGACCTAAACCCTATAAGGATCCTACTAAACCCTATAAGGATCCTACTAAACCCTAAACCCTGAACCCTATAAGGATCCTACTAAACCCTAAACCCTAAACCCTATAAGGATCCTACTAAACCCTAAACCCTAAACCCTATAAGGATCCTACTATTTCAACCCTAAGCCCTAAACCCTAAACCCTAAACCCTAAACCCTAAAACCTAAACCCTAAACCCTAAAACCTAAAACCTAAACCGGGCTGTGCTTGGAGGATCCCTTGCTGTCTAAAGCGCTCTATAGATCGCAGCATGCAAGCGGCGGTGCGGCTCCGGCTCTGCCCCTTTGGGGGCTTTGGGCCTGAGGGTTTAGGGCTCAGTGTTTCGGGTTTCGGGTTTCGGGTTTAGGGTTTAGGGCTTTGGGTTTAGGGTTTAGGGAGTTTAGGGTTTAGTGTTTCGGGTTTAGGGTTTAGGGCTTAGGGCCTAGGGTTTAGCTTACTGTAAGGACTATACTGCAAGGTTTACCGTAAGGGTTGCTGGTCATTAGTTTCTCCTACAAGGGTTCCATAGCCGTTTTACATCCTTGCGGAGGGTTTTCGTGCTTCGGGCACTCAAGTGCAGATCCATAAGGGGTCTTAACAACTCCGGTAGGGCTGGGGGTGTTTATGCTTTAAGCATGTTTAGGAGGCCCAGGGAATAGATAGCATTAACCGGCTTCTATAGTACGTTCCTTTGTTGTTTGACCTCCGGCCGTCTCAGTCTGGGATGCGAAGAGCCAGTCCTCGATCAAGACATAGTCCAGCTCAGGCAGTTCGTCGAGCATTCTGAGACACTCTGAAATTCTGTTGGTCATGGGCTTCCCCTTAGAGTTGAAGCTGGTGTTGATGAGTGCAGCAAGACCACTTCGTTTACCAACTGACAGGAGCAATTCGTGGATCCAGGGCTCATCTGATTGTGCCACTGACTGATGCCGAGCAGTGCCATCAACATGTGCTAGCGCAGGATAAGCAGCCCGCACTTCATCCAGTACCTTTGGGGCCATGGTCATGTACGTAGATTTCACAGTCCTACCGAAGACTTGGACCAGAGCTTCCTCCGCGATCATCGGCGCAACCGGCCGGTACCACTGCCTGCGTTTCAGTCGGTTCAAGCGGTGTCGGATGTCCTGAGAGTCAGGGCTGGCGAGCAAGGAACGGTGGCCCAAGGCTCTGGGGCCAAATTCCTGACGTCCACGGACCACAGCAACGATTGGCCTGTCCTTGCTCGCATTGCTCCTCTCCTTCCGCCACGCCAGACCACCCGCCAGGAGTTCGGCGAGAAATTCGACACCACCAAGCTGAACCAGGCCTCTAGCGGAACGATTCTGCGCATGGTATTCCAGAGATTCCAGGTCCCACAATCTCATGCCCGTGTATTGCAAGGGCTGTCGCTCCAGGGGAGGCTGCTGTTTGAAGATGCCTGCAACCGCGAGGCCTGCATCGTTGGCTGCTGCTGGTACAAAGACACCCAGATGATCAAGCCCGGGGGTTCTTGCAAATACGTCGAAGACGAGCTGATTGAACAAGACATTCAAGGCACAGCCGCCGGAGAAAACAACACCCTCCACTTCTCTATGAACTTCGCTGAGCATGAAGACCGACAGGACGATCTCAAAGGCAATCCGTTGAAAAGCCTCTTGAATGGACGCTGCAAGGTCACGCTGCTGCTGCAGAGACCCACAGCCGGCAGCCACGATGACAGGCGGCAGCGGAGGTTCCCGCGTCCAGTGTCGGGGCATGTATTCGCGCATGTACTCTTCTGTCGCAGAGAGAAGCTCGTAGGATGCTTCCCCGAGCGCGGAATACCCCATAAGCTTGCCGGGCACGGCCATGTACCTTTGCCAATCCGTGAAGTCAAGAAGGTGCAGTGGGTATGCCACTCCAAACTGATGCTTTTCGAAAGCCTTGCAAACCTGATCCTGTCGATATCCAATGACCTCTTCAAGAAGTCCTCCCAAGATGTTGTAAACCTCGCCCATGTTGTAGTCTAACCGTGCAAGAGGCCCTCGCAACTCGAGATCTCGACCCAGGTAAACATTAAACTGTCCATCGTTGCCGCCGTTTCCAATGGCGAAAACCACGGCAGACTGGAAAGGTGACGAAAAGAAGCCCATTTGCGCATGTGCCTCGCTATGATTCATGTACTGCCACTGATTTACCGTGAAGAAGCCGTCAACAACTATCGGAAGATAAACGAAAGTCGCCGCCTCTACCTCCCAGGTCCTGACAATCACCCCGTAGTCGAAGTGTGAGGGACAAGGCCCATCCTCGCACAGACAGGTCTCCCGCAATGTCTGCGAAGCATGGGACCAGTCTGTGTGGAAAGCGAGTAACTGCTCGTCCTCCGAATGCCTCCACCCTGGGGAATTGTAGTACCGCTCTTCAAACAGACGCTCCAGCTCCAGCACACATTGCACCCGCCCATCAATGCCCACAGCAACACTCGCATCGTGGTTTAAGTAGAACGAGATCACAGCACCCCCGCGCCCGCGCCTGTGCCTTATCTCTTTCCCCTCTCCTCGCTTCTTGAAGCTTGGAATCTCAAGAATGCGCTTTTGGACATCGTCCATGCCACCATAGTAAGCATCTTCTGCTTGATGAGGTGGCACCTGCAGGTTTTTGCGATACAGAAGAGCCTCCTTTCCTCGCTGCATCGCGAGGCGCGCCATGCGAGTGAACGTTGACGAACTCCATGATCTAACCATGGCGCCGGCATCCCATGACCTGGCTGGACGAAGCAGCGACACGACGACGAACGTCCAGAAGCAGTTTCTGCGCATGGGACCCGCTGTAATGCAGCAAGATCGGTGCAGGTCTACGCACCTCTGATCCACGACATGGCTACGAACGGAACTTGCTATCCCTTATGCCTTCCTTGTGGCATCTGAAGCGGCTCCAATAGGTTTATTATCAACCTGTGCAGGAACGAAGCAGTGGCTCACAAATCTAACGGCCTGGAAACCGCCAGAAGTAGCAATGACACGCCAGCACGGGCAACCTACCCATGAACAACGGCTTTCGCCTTCTTTAAATCATGGGGCTCTGCGCGAATCAGATGTGACAACTTCATACAGAGTTTAAGAACAAACAGGTACAGCCAAAGGCCATGACGCGAGGCCAGAAGCAACCTAAACTGAGGAATAAAGTTTAGTAATCGTTCACGCCCCTTTATTAAACCATCAACCCAAAAAATCTGAATCAATAAACTCCTAGTCCTGAGCCCTCAAACGCCATTCCCCCCCAAACTTGGCCCTTCAAGCCTTCAAGCCAAAGCCCAAAAAGCCCAGACTGTAAGTACAAGCCCCAAAGCTACAGATACAAACATCCGAAACCCTGAACCCCCGATCCCTCGTTCAGAAACCCAAAATCAACCGCAACCCCGAGATCCTAGTGCAGGTGCCTTACTAAGTAGAATAGGGTTTTTGGGCTAATTATAACGAGCCCTATGGAATAATACTCATAATCAATGAGGTTTTTGGGCTCCCTTATAGCATGCTTATAATAAGGAACACTATGGAATAATACTAATAATTTGTTAGGGGTCTCTATATTTAGACCCTAAACACTAAACCCCAAACCCTGAACCCTAAACCCTAAGCCCTTTCGCTGAGGTCCTAGCTTAGCGCAGACGCGCGCACGGTCTCCGCGAGCTCCTCAACCTGAACCTCCCGGCGCTCACGACTTTAATGGGTTCTGGGTTCTGCAGAGTTTAGGGTTTAGGGTTTAGGATGGTTTAGGATTGTTTAGGATTGTTTAGGGTTTAGGGTTTGGGGTTTAGGATTGTTTAGGGTTGAGGGTTTAGGATTGTTTAGGATTGTTTAGGGTTTAGAAGGGTGATATGAAGCCTTGATAAGTTTCCGCGTGGTTCTACGGGTTTTGGTGAAGCATCCATCTTGGTCTTGGGGGAGTTTGCAAAGTGGACAAGCAAGTTTTCTTGAGCTATACAGCAAGTTGCTAATGAGGAGTTTGGGTCCCCCAAAAGCCCTCAACCCAAAACCCCTAAACCCCTAAACCACTAAGCCCTAAACCTTCAAAAAGACCCCAGGTCTCACGAAGAGGTTAAGGGTCTGGCACCGGTACTTGGAGGGTCGGGGAACTTAGTAACTAGTTGTTTTATAGACGTATAACTTGTAAGTACCAGAACCACAATTAGGATCCCTTTCAGGGTACTTCTTACTAAGTCCCCCGACCCCCTCCAAGTCGACCCTCAACCCTAAACCCTAAACCCTGATAAACCCTAAAACCATCTACTTACAAAGTCCCCCGACCCTCCAAGTATGAAAAGTGGCACTTCGGGTTTAGGCTTCAGAGAGACTCCACGAGTCCTAAACCAAACAACGCCCCTCAAAAGGTGATAGGTCCTTTCTTACGGGTTTAGGGTTTAGGGGTTTTGGGGTTTTGGGGTTTTGGGGTTTTGGGGGTTTTGGGGGTTTTGGGGCTTTAGGGGTTTAGGGTTTCGGGCTCAGGGCCGACGTGTGATAGGTCTCTTCCAGGGGATGATAAAACCCTGTAAATGCAACAGTATTCATCTGTGAGGGATTTAGGGTTTAGGGTTTAGGGTTTAGGGTTTAGGGTTGCAACAGTATTCATCTGTGAGGGAAGGGTCTCCAGAATTCACTCAACCCAGGGTAGTTCGCCTGCTGGTTGCTGGGCTCGGGAAGGTCATCGTAGAGGCCGGCCATTCGCCGCGATTCCAAGTTTGTTGTGGAGGTGCTACATATTGACTAGTGTGAGGTATTGGGGGTATGTCATGTCATACTTCTATCATTCTATATCTACCCTAACCCCTAAATCCTATATCTATGATAGGGCTTGAGGGCTTCGGGATTGCAGGGTGCCGCCCCCAGAAGCAGGCCGTTCAAGCATCAGCGTTGAATTCTATTCAGTCTGGCGCGTGCTACACATGCTTCAGCGATATCGAGGGGGTCGGGTCTTGGAGAGATTCATCATTTACGGGCGTTAATAAGTAGAATAGGGTTTTGCGGGGCTCCTATTATAAGTATACTATAAGTATACTATAATAGGCCCCAAAACCCTATTCTAACTATTAAGGCCCCCATATTAGGCTTGCTATTCTGATCCACCGAAACTGGACATGAGCAGCTGCTGGAAGCCGGAACGGATGATGGCCCTTCAACCCCAAGCCTTCCACCCCAGTAGCTTCAAGCAACCCCCACAGACCAAACTGAACCCCTACAACCTTAGACCGTTAACGCAAAACCCTAAATCCCGAAACCCCAAACCTTACAACCCTGAAGTCCCAAACCCAGCTTGAGCAATCGATTGAAGCTAGAGCTTGAACTTGACATGCCACCGATTACATGCCCAGGAAGCAGACCGAAACGCTTCTTCAAAGCACGGCCACCCCCTGTTGTGAATGATAAGAAGACTGATACGTAGTAATTCTGCTGGGAGAGCTGCTGGCAGCGAAGAAGGCATTGATAGCATTGGTAATAGAATGCTGCCACTGATGCTAGCAATGCTGCTAACAGATGTGTTAGTCTCGAACAAACTGGCCAGGAAGTTATTCCAACAAGAAGAAACAAGGGCAGTACCAAAAAAAGACAGCATGAATTTCATCGGAGCTGAAGTAGACATCATGATGACAACGGCAGTAAGACCAGTGACGACAATGACAATGAGAAAACTAGCAGTACCCGAAGTCAAGGCAGCAGGGAACAACAAAAAGATTACCCTGTGCACAAATACAATCATATTAATATGACGGAAGAGCCCTAAACCCTACCCCCAACCACCCCAAACCCCTAGGCCACAGACCCAAAAATCTAAAGCTGTCCTTGCAACAGTGCAACAGCTCGGCCCGGCACCGAGGTAGCCCAACATGGGCTTCTCAATGCGCTGCTGCATCAGAGCACACCTCCAGAAGAAGCCGTCTTAAGGTTGTTGTGGGCTCTGTTGAAACTAGGCCCTGAAGCCTAAACCCCTCAAGTAAACCGATAGCAATCGTCTCGAACTCCCTCTGGAACCCCTGTGGGGAGAACCCGCAAGATTTCGCGCATTCCGGTTTGAGAGTTTAGGCTCCGGTTTAGGGTTTAGGGTTATGGGTCCGAGGGCTTAGGGTTTTTCTGTAGGAGTTTGAGGCTTAAGGCTGGAAGGGTCCCTCGGTTTAGGGTTTAGGGTTTAGGATTTTTGGGTTTAGGGTTTAGGGTCCTTGTAGGGGTTCTAGGCTTGGGCAGCTCAGGGCTTCCTTCACGGGCACCCATTTTTTGCAGTCTGAGTGGGTAAATACTGTTGATGATATAAATCCTGCATTACCTTTAAGGACCCTAAACTATGGGAATTATGGCATATTCCTTAGTATGGGTAATGCAGGATTTTTATATCATCAGCCGTATCACCGAAAGACTCAGCGAAGGGGATCTCTTTCCCCCTAAACCCTAAACCCTAAACCCTAAACCCTAAACCCCTAACCCCAAACCTTCCTAAATCCCTTTACCCCAAACCCTAAACCCCTAAACCCCTAAACCCCTTAAACCGGGGATCTCTTTCCCCTAAACACGCGCATTTCAACATGGGGAAAGCAGGTTCCTCTGGCCCACGAGGTCCGGGGGGTGTCGCGCTCAGATGCATGCGGCGTTTGAGGTGTAGGGTTTTGGGTGTTGCTTTTATTTCAGGGACTCTTTTTCAAGGAAACTAGAGGTGGGGAGTTTGGGATATATAGGGCTTCTGTAAGGCTTCTGTAAGATATATAGACCTTCTATAAGGCTCCTACAACGGTAACTACCTGAAAATGTCCTAAATTCTTCCTTCCTCGCAATCCCTGTACCCCAAACCCTGCAAAAGGGCTGGATGGCTTTAATATGAAAGCGTGTGCAAGTCACTGGCTCTCTTGGCTCCCCTTCGGAAAACCTAGGTCCCAAAGCAAGCACTGTGCGTCGGCTTAAGTAGGAAAGGGAAGCTGACGAAGCATCCTAATCCTAAGCTTGATTCCAAGACGGTGCGGGGGCAAAAAGTCCGCTTGCCATTGGGATGCACCAAATCCGAAAAAAAAAAAAAACAATCCCAGGGCGCGGACACGACGAAAGGGCTGGTGCACACAATGGCATCGATGGTCATGGACCCCATAAGTTGTGCAGCGATGTCCTGCACCCGGCAGAAGGTTTAGGGCTTGAGGTACCAGCACCGCAACAAAGCCAATGCACCGGACACACACCTTGGGCATACCGGAATCCCCGAACAGGGCACAGCTTCTTCTCAACGCAGGTATTGCCATTGGATCAAAGGCTTAGGGACTGAGATGATAGGAAAAGCTTGTCACAGTGACAATGTAACCGTTCTGCTCGCGGGCATGTAGGTAGGTACCCCTCAAATCCAAACGTATTTGTGTAGCTGCACGCATGTATGTCACCTATGCAATGCGGCGCAGAGCAACAGGGAACGTAACCAGGTGTAGCAGCTGGCCATGCATGTGATGCAGTCTAAGCAATGACGATGCGCTGCAGTGCAATGTGTCACAAAAGTCGTGTATGATTCCACAGCCTCACAGTTCGAATGCGTTGCATTGTATGTAATGGTTGTGCCCTACACCCTACACCATAACTGAACATATTGCATGATCCCACAGAAACCCTAAACAAGCCGCAAAATCTCGGCAGAAGCCTTTTGGCACCCACAGCCCTTGGCTGAATTCCTTTCATGCCCTTTGCAAAAGCCTGCACAGCCCAAAGCAAAAAGGGAAAACTAAACAACAAAGACTCTACACCTGCACCATCTGCAGTTCTATCTTAACAAAAACCCAAAGAGAAGCTAAACCTTTAAAGCCCTACTGCTAACCCCTAAGCCCCTCAGCCCTAAACCCCTAATTGCCTGAATCTGAAACCCTGAACCCTCAACCCCAAACCCTCAACCCCTCAACCCCTAAACCCTGAACCCCTAGACCCCCAAAACCCTAAACCCCTAAACCCCTGAACCCCTAAACCCCTGAATCCCTGAACCCCTAAGCCCTACTGAGAGCCGGGCCGAGATAGCCTCTGAGATGACCTGCAGCGTGTAGCCTGGCTTACTTTGGGGCTCAGCGCATCTGGGAAGAAGGGTTTCGTAAAGGGTTTAGGATTTAGGGAGCTTTTTCAGCCTGTCTTGCAAGAGATGAGGTGTAGGAGTCTAGGCAGGGCTTCGGGCTTAGGAAGGTTGGGCTCAAAAGTCTCCTGTAAAGGATAATGGCAGTTGGCAAGCAGCTGGGAACTAGAATAGGGTTTTGGTGGTATCTGTACACTATAACTAGAATAAGAAACCCCCAAAATGTGATAGGTAATTGTTTAAAGGCCCCTATATTAAATGTGTAGTTCTCTAAATCAGGGTCCCTTTTTAGGGCCCCAATATAGTACGGCACCCTTAAAAAAGGAACCCTAAAAAATCCTAATTTAGAGAACTCCCCATATACAGTACAAGGGGAAAGTACTACCAATTACCAAGTGCTCAGGTCCTTCTGCTTTAAACGGATTAGGTTTAGGGTTATGGGTTAGGGCTTAGGGACTTCCCCAACAAGCCACAGACACACAAGGTCAAACTTTCCGATTACTACTAAACTATAAGAACCCAACAAGCTTAAAGGTTGGGTATTGGAGAGCTAAATAGCGTATGTCATAGGGCCAGAGAGTTGCAAAGAAGTCGTGTAGGGCTTCAATACGATCCTTAAATCTTAAAA